GGGGGGGCTAGGAGACCGAGTGTTTGCACAGTCCCTGGAGTCAGAGTGACATCTCTCAACAGCGCAGGATGCTTACTTTATTAACCTGGGAAATACTCAAGGTTTGTGATTTTTTTTTTCCTTTTCCTGAGAAGTACAAAGGCCAAAAAACTCTCTATACTTCAGGACATACACTAATGCACCAAATATGTTCTTTCATTTATTTTTGTATTCTCCTTTGTATCCAGATCTTATTTTTCTTTTCATCATTCACTTTTAGAAAATTTTAATAGCTATATAAAGTGTAGTCCCTAAATACCAATGCTCCAACCCTGACAAAAATGACACTTTATGGAACTCTTAGATACCACAGCCCAGGATGCATACAGAGGTGGCCAATATTCAGAAGCTAGATTTTCTTGTATTGCCCAAGTGATCAGGAATAACCAAAACATTTCAAATGTATTCAAATTATTTATGTTTAGAAAAACAGGTAAGGACGAATCCTAGAAAAGCAAATATAGGAGGAAAAATAAATGCGGAACGCATTCTGTGTTGTCCAATAATATGTGCTACAGTGAGTCCGTATCAAGGCAGAATCCTTGGATTTTACTGCTTGTAATGGAAACCTGGGAAGGGAAAGAATAAACAAAAGACAATTAAGAAAAAAATATTTGAAATTCTGACAGTTTTTCTCTTTTTCAAGCTAAGTGATTTATCTTTTTTTCTGTCTTTTTCAAGTGGTTTCTATTTTCTTTGCTCTTCATTATAAAATATTTATACAGAGAAACAACTTTTATTTTAATGATACTATATGTCAAATATATGTGAAGGACAGGAAAGTACCTAATACAAAGTGATGCATACATAGTTTGAGTCAGTTAAAAAAAACAAAACAAAACATGAGTTACTCTGAACATATTCAAATTGGCCTGCAAAGCAAAACTGGAATGCACTCCAATTTAAAAAATTTGGGTAATCCTGAATGAGAACTGGAACTGAAAAAAATATGGATCAAAGCCCCAGACGTCAGAGGAAGCACACTAAACCCTCTCAGGAGATTACCATGTGGTGTGTATGACTGCATTATTGATCTGATGTCAAAAACAACACACACTGAAAGCAGCATAGTCGGCTGCCATGCTTGGATGAAGAACAAGGATTACCATTATACTCTTGGTCACTATACAATGTATACTCTACTCTGCCTTTTGAGGAGGGAAATTAAGTCACTAATAAGGATTCAACTGGTAATTTTTTTCCTTTCATTCTGGTTATCGTTTTGTTTCACCCGCACTTTAAAAACTGAGTCCGCTCCAACTTTGCTTTCTAAAGCCATGACTGGGCCAGGAAGAACTAGTCCAAAGTCCTGTATCTAGTTAAATCAAGATGCTGAAAATGCTACCAACTGATGCACACTGTGAAGGATCCGTTGTTTGTTAAGCTATGTTTAACATCCACGTAATCCCATGTTTTAATTTATGTCTGTTACCTCTGCACAAGGGAATTAGGGGAGCTTTTAAAAAAAATACCAATGCCTAGAACTAATCACTCAGACATTCTAATGTTATCGGTTTTGGGTGATACTGTGAATAGGACATTTAAAGAAATTTAAGAAGTTATTAGATCCAGAAAAAGATGATAAAATATTTCCCCCAAGGAGTCAGCAAAACCATAACAGCAAATGCATTTCATTAATTAATAAAGTCAAGTATTTATCAAGCTTGGCGGTCACGAAAACCCCCAGGAACAGTTCAACCCTGTCATGCAGGGTCGCTAGGAGTCGGCATCATCAATTCCGTGGCAGTGAGTTTGGGTTTTGGTTTGGCAGCTTTTACAAAGTCAATTTCAATCTGCAAACTGCTTTCACATATTTGATCTCATCTAACCCTCATAATCTGGGAAGTTATCACTCGCATCACCTCCATGGTTTAAATTAAAAAACCGAAGACACATCTTCATTCTCTCTTTTGTCATGGCTGCCATAAACATACAACAGTGAATGTTTACCCTTGGAAGAACAGATGACCAATTATTCTTTTCATATTAAAGATTTGGTCCAATTAGATCTCCGTATTTTCTAACCTTATTTTTATTTTGTATGAAAGTCTGACCTGGTGTATGCGTGTTTATGTGTTTTTTTGTCTAATGAATAAGGTCATGAGCAGATTGGGCAAAAAGAGCTAAGAATCTAGAGAAGTGGCCCATTGGTTCTAAGTATTTTGCTGGGATAAGGGCGAAGTATATGTGTGTCATAGTTCCCTTTAGGAAAACGAAGAAACCTGTGAACTCTCGAGTATAATGCAGATCCCTAACAATTATCTTCTGGTTTCCATTTGTTTGTTTTGCTTTTGTGAGAGGAGGACGAAGACTAAGTATCAGCTTCAAGAAAGGTTGTTTTTATGCTCGAGTGATCTCTAGAAGAAAGCATTTCTTTTTACCACAACATGAAGACGATAGAGATCGTGAAATATGACTATGTATGCTCTTCTTACCTTTATGAGAGGCTTCTGATTTTGAGAAATGGCGTGTGGCACTATGCTGGTCTGTAGAAGGAGTAAAATCCACACCCTCAGCACCTGTCACGGCAGGGGGGCGGGGCCTGAAGGAAAGCCAGAAGTTAAGAGTCTCTCAGAAACAGTGATGACAACTCCATCACTCACTGCAGCATATAGTGTATGTGTCACAGTCCCCTTTAAGTAACAGATATTGCCTGTTGGAATGCAAAGCCAGCATGCTTTGGAGTCTGTTCCTAGTTAGTTGTATGAGTTTTGATAAAAATGATTTTATTAGAATCCTCATTTTTCATTTACATAAATGAACTTTCTAACGTATTTTGTGCATACATAACATGGGTATGGCATTATGCTAAGGGCAGGAGAAACAGATTATTGAAATCAGTAAGATATTTGTTGTGTTTGGGAGCGTTAACAAGAAAAAGAGGAAGAAAAGAACTGCAGAAGGGAGCATATAATAAAAAGCAGTGAATCGGTGAAAGGAATAGGGCAGAGAGGAAGAAGGGAAGGAAGGAAAACGGAAAGAAGAAAGGAAAGGTAAGGATGAGGGAGGCAGGGCAAGAAGGACTTTAGTCAAAATATGAAATTTTGTGAGTAAAGTCCTTGCTCCACTAGGAGGCAAAACAAATCTTTAGTGATGGTAAGAACAGTACACAACTATAAGTTTTTCATGTAAGAAGCAAATAAAAATGCAAAAAACACTGAAGAAATTTTGGTACTTCAAACCTCTAATTGTTTTAATTACGTAATATAGGCTTGAGTGGGGAGTGATGTTTCTGACCTTAATCAAAATATGACAGGTATATATTGGTGCATACTTTCCACCCACTGGCCTGTGATCCTCCTGCATTGGTGTCATTGCATGGCTGCGTGAGTTTAAAGAGGCATTTATGGACTAGTTGACATATGGGGTAATATCAGATTTATGGACTTGATCTGGACTGGGATGTTTTCTTAATGTATAATTAATCTGTGACATAAAGTCCTCTTACACACATATGAGTGTCCATGAATTTGTTTCTCTAGTCTACCCATACTAACACACATCCATAGCACTTAACATGGGTCAAATTATTTATTTTTTAGATTATAAACTTTATGAGAACAGAAAACAGTTCTTGTTAACTTCAGGTTATCCTAGTTCCAAGTACTTACTAGGGTGCCCAATAATATTTGATGAATAAGAAAAACATACTTCATATTAATAAGAATGCCCCAGAATCTAAAAGAGACAATGAATAAATATATGATGAATGAGTAAGTGAAGGAAATATATTTCATATTAAGAATGCTATAGAATCTAGATTTATGAATTTTTAGAAACTAAAAAGTAAAATAGCAAGTAGCACTACAATCCTATAAGTAAAAGAATATACAAAATTCTATAGGTAAGAGAGAGTGCTGGTGGCACAATGGGCTGAAAGGTCAACAGTTCAAGCCTACTAGTTGCTTGCCAAGAGAACTATGAGGCAACTTGCTTTCTTAGAGATTTATAGCCTTCTTGGAAACCCTATCGAGCAGTTCTATTCTGTCCTATAAGGTTGTTATGAGTTGGAATCAACCCAGTGGCAATGGGTTTGGTTTGGTTTATAGATTGAAACTTTCTCCATTTATAATGGCAGGAACTTCAGTTGAAAGTCATTTGGAAAAACAAATGTTTTGAATGAACCCAAAGTTTCCAAATAGCTCTCTACTCCCTTATAAATAAATAGATGAAGAAGTTGACTTTTTGACTATGAACATTATATGTTCAGGATTTGTTTCTCTTCTACTATACTAAAGTGAACCAACAGTCCTAGCCTTATAAGCTTTCAAATTGATACTGTCAGGTGTAAACTTCATCTTTTGTATTTTGTGTCCTCTTCTCTCCTACTCCAACTGTATTATCTTTAGAAAAGCAATAAAGTGCAATGAGAAGCAAACAGTTGTTTCTCTAGAGACGTCAATGCTTGCAGCCTGAGGTAAAAAGGCAGCAGCTGCTCTGTAACTATGACCCAAGACTGCTGGAGAGAAATCAGCAAGTCCCAGAACGCAGATTCCACAGCCATCTGACCTTGTGGGACTTAGATACCTGCCTACACACTAAAACTCAGACAAAAGTTAATGTGATCATAATGTGAATGCCGCGCGCACATACACACACGTATGATCATAAAACCCAAAAGAAATGTAAAGCTTATGCATTTAAAATTTTACTCAGAAAAATGGCTCGTTTCATCCCTTCCTACTTGGTAGCATCAATTCAAAGAATCCAGAAGCAAGGCTCTATCCTAGCAACAAACACATCCTTCCCGATGAAATCCAGCGTGTGTAGAATTCCTTAGATTGTCCTGATTTGACTTGAGCAGTGTAATTTAAAGTTGGAAATAAACATTTCAAAATAAAATCCCAAATGTGACGCCATGTCCCAATTGTTGACTTCTGTATCTCCTTCTATATCTCCCCACTCACCCCACAATCAAGTGCTTCTTTCTTCTGTTTTAGGTGTCAGCTTACCGTGCTGGCCGGTCATTCTTAGAACGGTGAGATTCATCACTTTCTTTTGAATTTGGGTGTGTTGATTTGGCAGATTTTGGCTATGGACAGAAATTTGGAAAAGAAAAACACACACACACAAACAGCAAACATACAATGAGAAAGATTAGATCTCTAATATGTTAATTATATCAAATTTTCCTTATGTAACTTCAGAAAGCTTACATTTCATTAAGCAACATAAGGTTTTTTTTTTAATACAGCTACTCAGAAAAAATGCATACAGACACCAAGGCAGGCGAGTGTGCTCACATGCATGAACACATCACCCACATGTGTGTGCTTGGCTTTCCATTGTTACCACAGCAGCTGCATGGTCACTGGTAAGAAGTGGCTTCCAAAGGCTATGAAATCTAAGCTTGGACTCTCAGACTCCTTTCTCAATACTCAACTTAGGGCTGATGATTTTCAAGTCAGAAAACTAAGGCTCACAACCACTGTTCTCGGGGAGGAAGTGTGCCCTTACCAATTCTAGAATCTGGAAATCACAGCAGCCCTTATTCCTCTTACCTTCCCAATCAGTCATCTTGAAAGTGCCCAATCTCCCATTAACTTAATTAGCATAGAATCCGAGTAGCATCCAGGCAATTTATTTATGTAGGACAAGCATTCACAAACCTTTTTACTAAAGTGTTTATTAGGAAAAATTCTAAATTACTTTAAGAGTAAAAGAGGGAAGACTAATACACATAACTAACATAAAGGGAGTACTTTCATTTGTTTGAGACTGCTGTGTAATTAAGCAGTAGGAAATAGTAGAAAAATGCCACTACCACAGTGTATGTCTCATCTTTTTCCTTATAACCACTGCAGAGACCATGAAATGGTACTAGGAACACTTGGAAAGAATTTTCCCAAGAAAGCAAGCAACTGTAAACATCAACTGTGTCATGAACACACCCTAGGTGCTTCCTGCCGGGCCTAGGCCACGTGTTTTCTCTTAAAAGGTTTTACTGTGTGGATTCTCCCTCTCCCTCTCCTCCGCTGCTCTTCTTCCACATTGCTTCACCGGGTGTGAACTTGCATTCATTAGCTATCTGAGCCTCTTTGTGCTTAAAGACAGCTTGTCTTCCTCTCTACCTTATACACTATTATCAGGAAAAAAATATCTTTGTCTTTCTCTGAGACCAGAGAGGTGCTGGAACTGATGAGGAAGCTCGTTCAATTAAACTTTTAAATACCAGCAACAAAAATCAGATTTCAGAATGACTTGCAGTCCCTCCCTGTTTTGTCAACTATTTCTGATGACTAAGGAGAAAGTCCGTGCTCATGCCAGAGTTCTTGTACTATGACATACGCAATGATGTCTGGTGATAGGTATGTCTGTCAGTCTGCCAGGAGTCAGGTATGCCAGAGAGTAAAGAAACTGGAGGTACTTTATAAGAAAAGCAAATTAGGATAGAGGGAGACAAGGACACTGGCAATTAGAAAGCATGTGAAAATACGACATTTTCCCTACATTGTTAAGTGTAGTAAAACTGAACTTGCTTGAAACAGACTGACTTTTAAAAATGTTAGCAGTAATTTCATTATAGGTATAAGAAGTCAGTATTATTTTTCTTTGTGCAACAATTATACATCCAACATATATGTACAGTTGTCTCCTTTTCATTTCTCAGCGAAACCACCACCACCTCAGCTCTGCCTACCTTCCACTCAGCGTCATACTTCCTTCTGTCCAACGATGATTTCTCCCGTTCCTTGGCTTTCTGATATGCTTTTTTCTCCTCAGCCATCAGCAGTCGAGCAATTTCCTAAACAACAGCAAGGCATTATCTTTAACTGCACAGCGTTGTGGGTAGGAACTTACTGGGGCATTTTCCAAGAATGGTGGCTAGACAAATGCGGATACTAAGGAAACTCACCTCATCCTGGGCTACTTGAGCTGCTCTCATGTCCACCTGCGTAGCCTGTGGGATAAAAAAGCCAAGAGAAGTGTAGTTGAAACCAACATGCCCTATTTTTAAGTATTACAGAAAAAATAAACTGGTATTTGAAACTACCAGTGATTAACACGCCTGAATGAGTGTGTACTCACCAGCCTCAGCAGGGTTCATCTTACCAAACTCTTCTGTAGGTTCTTGGGAGCATCAGAAGAAAGAGTGGAGACAGATACAGACAATTGTGCAGCTAACGCATCTTCAACAAGGAAAACTAGGCACTCACTCTATTCCCTTTGTCTTGATTGTCCCCTTGTTAACAGCACATTCAGTTTCCCATCTCAAATTTCACACCAAACTCACTGCCTTCACATTGATTCTGACTCATAATGACCCTACAGGACAGAACAGACCTGCCTCTGTGGGTTTCCAAGACTGTACCTCCTGAAAGGACTAGAAAGCCTCATCGCTCTCTCCCATGGAGTACCTGGTTTACAACTGGTGACTGTGCAGATCACAGCCAAACACAAACCCATTAGCCTACCCCAGCTCCTGCCAAATGTCTCAAGTTACCTCAAATCACAAAAAAAGGGGAAGGGGGTGGTGGAAGAGACACTACTAAGTCACTTCACCTTTTGCCTCAAAATGTACTCACCAAAAGTTCTTCTTCTTGCAGCTTTCTGGCGATTTCTGCATCATACAACTCCTGGTCCCTGTTGGCCACTTGGGATGGAGTATAAACAATTTCTTTCACTCCTCTTGGTTTTGTTCCTAGAAAAAAACTCATTGTGATAAGGCAACTGAGGTTCTTTCCTGGAAAGCTTCAAAATTTAACATAAGTATGTGTTTCTTTGGTATCTAACACTGGTAATACTTTATCCTCCAAGAATGATAATGTCAGTATAGGGGTACACTTGAAATAATCCCCCACTCAGAGAGATGGCAGTGCAAACAACAAATACCTTTATATAAAGCTACCTCTCCCCAAACATGCCTGATAAAATCTCCCCTTGGTTTCTTTAACGACAAAAATCACGTAAGGTACCAAGGCCATCACGAAATAATAAAATAGTAGGAAAAAAGTCATCCCTGAAGAAAATGGATTCTTGAATAAAGGAAGTTAGAATGTGAGCTTAAAGGGGTTCAGCTGAAAAGATCTACAAAGAGGCTTTCCTTCTATTTAATTCACACTGGAGGGAACAGAAATAGGTTCACCCTGTTATGTGATCCAGGCAAAGGGCCACATACAGAAGAGTGTTCTAGAAGGAGCTAGGAAGTTCCTATATTTCTAAATTTACACATAAGATACATAGATGTG